GAAACAAACGCCTCCTTTTCCTTTGCAGTAAAATAACCTGTCAGGTTTAATTGAAATCTCCASCAGCTTTCAGAATCTCGACGTGTTTTTACTTCCTTCTTTCTGCACTTCGTCCTTGTGCCTCCTTCCTCCACACACACACACACACCCCAACACCTCTCCTCCTCCCTGCCCTTCAGTCCACAGATGTGCTGCTCAGGAATTCTGCCCTCTGCCCCACTTCCCATTATCCACCTTTCCCATCCACTTCCTCCTATTTTTTGGTGCAGCAGTCGTTTGAAGAAATTGATTTTTTTTTCCATCTCACTTCTTCATTGGCTCAGCTTTCTGCTCCTTTCCCAGTATATTTAGTTTGTGCTGGATGTGACAATCTCCTCTTAAAAAACTCAAACGGGAGATAAATCAGTGCCGATCAGTGATTTACTGCAGAGATTCCCGCTTTTTGCTCCTCGGGGATTGTTGCAGGCTGAAGTCAGGGTGCAGCTGCAGAAAGGTGTGGAGTTTAGGCAATTTTTTTGGGTGTGTTAAGACAGGTTAGTCAGGTTACCTGTGGYAAGGTATTGGTCTTTTGCTTCAGATTTGATCCCTGCAGCCCTCAACCCCAGCCCTGCTTCTCCTCCTCCCCGTCTCCCCATTTCTTTCCTATTAAGCATTCCTCTCAGACCTGCGCCGAGGCTTCTGAGCTCGAAAAACTCTGACCGTGAGCGTGTTTGTGTCTTGCCTCTGTGTGTGTGTGTGTAGTGCGTGCCTGAATGTGTGTCAGCCCCAATTGCTGGAGCCTATTCAAGGTTTCCGTGGTGACCGCACAACACAACGAGACAATCAGAGGCAAGCCCACGCAGCGCGGCGAGAGGACATTAACACGGGAACCGCAGGTCAGGGGCCAAAGGAAGGCAGGGCGAGGCACGGGGGAGGGAGGAAGATGAGGAGGAAGATGATGGAGAGAGTGAGAGAGAAATAGTGGTAAACGACAATAAACAAGGACTACTTTAGCTTTCTTCCTCTCATGCCTGCAAAACACGAAGAGCGTTAAAGGCTTCCTGGCCCCAGGTGTGGTTTTGGAACCACCTCTGTGTGTGCGTGTCTGTGTGAGGCCGTGGTGTTAGTCAGAGACGGCGGCATGCGTGACTGAATCCATCAGCAGGAGGGGTGTTTGCTCTGTGAGAGAGGGAGAGAGAGGGAGAGAGGGAGAGAGAGAGAGAGAGAGAGAGAGAGAGAGCATGCACGAACCTGAAAAATGTGCGTGTCTGTTTAAATTCAACTGTTTGCATCAGTGTGTGTCTGTTTGCATCATTGTGTGTGTGTGTGTGTGAGTTTGTGCGTGTCTTTTCTGCAGCCATGCACCCGGGTGCTCTCACATATCTCCGTCCCCCCGGGGATGACGCTAAAAATATGTGGCTCCTCAAGCCTTCTGGTGTCTGAGCAGCGTCTGTCTGCTTTCTATTGCCGTCCCTGCAG